TGTTGCGGGCGGCGCGGCGGGTGACGCACCGATGGCAGACGTGAAAGCGGCAGGGGCTGCTGGCATGCTCGCTACGGGTGTAGGACTTGAGCCGGTCATAGATCCTGTCATGGGTAACATGACCACAGAGGATCTCCGCATAGCCCTCCAAATAAAGGAGGTAGAGACCAAAAACAGACAGCTAGAGGTGCAAGCAATGCATCTGCGCATCAGGGCTCTCGAACTGGAAAAGGGAGCCCCGGTAGTCTCCACCCCGATGTCTCCTCTTGACCGCAGTGCTATTTCTACTCCGGCTTTTGACATTAGTAGGCACATAGCTTTAGTCCCTCCGTTTCGCGAGTCAGAGGTTGACTCATATTTTAGCGCTTTTGAGCGGATAGCTGCTGCCCTGAGTTGGCCTAAAGAGTTCTGGTCCCTTCTCCTCCAGTGTAAATTAGTGGGGAAAGCTCAAGAAGTCTGTGCCAGTCTGTCTATTGAGGATAGTCTTGACTATAAAATACTGAAAAAGACAGTGTTACAGGCCTACGAGCTGGTCCCGGAAGCATACAGACAAAAATTTAGGAATAGTGATAAAACTGCTAACCAGACATATGTTGAGTTTGTGCGTGACAAGAGCATTCTGTTTGATAAATGGTGCCAGGCGTGTAATGTTAAAAACATGGCGGAAATCAGAGAGCTCATTTTGCTCGAGGAATTCAAAAAGTGTTTGCCGGAACGAATTGTGGTCTATTTGAACGAACAAAAAGAATCATCTGTAACGAAAGCGGCTGTTCTGGCTGATGAGTTCATTCTAACTCATAAAAGCGTTTTTTCTATGCCGGCGCCTCGCGTTTCTCAAGTAATGCCTGAGCGCAGAGTTCGGTCGCCAAAGATGATGCGTAAAAGCACCTCACCAACAGCGGGTGAGGGCCGTGAGTGTTTCTATTGCCATGAGCCAGGCCATTTGATCGCGGTTTGTCCGATTCTTAGGAAAAAAGGACCACACAAAGGTACTAAACCTCCTGCCGGTGTGGGTTTCATAAACACAGTGTCACCACCGGTAAAACATACTGAGCTGTTACCTGAAGAAAAATACGCGGAGGTTGACCCTCGGTTCAAGCCGTTCGTATCTCACGGGTTTGTTTCTTTAACTGGCGAGCAATCGGAAAAAGTGCCAGTAACTATTCTTCGAGATACAGCCGCCTATCATTCATTCATGCTGGCTAATGTGCTGCCGCTCTCCAACGAAACGTCGTGTTCTTCTGATTTGCTAGTGTGGGGAATCAAAATGAGTGAACTTCATGCCCCACTGCACATGATTCACTTGCATTCAGCGCTTGTGTCTGGACAGGTGAAAGTTGCCGTGCTCCCACAGTTTCCGATTAGTGGCGTTTCGTTTATTTTGGGTAACGATTTGGCCGGAGGAAAAGTGTTTCCTCTGCCCGAAGTAGTTAGTGACCCAATTTCGTCGGTGTCTGCTTGCTGTTCACCCTTTGCCTCTTCTGCTGTGTCTGTGCCAAATCTGTTTCCTGTGTGCGCTATTACGCGTGCACAGGCTCGTAAATTGGGTGAAAATGTGGATTTGTCTGAGTCGTTTATGGCTACGCTAGTTGAGGGTGAGCCCTCCTGTTCAGTGTCATCCGATGAGTGTGAAAATGTATTAAAATGCATCAATGAGTTTGATCTATTTCCTGCTGACACAGACCTAAGTTTAAATGTGACCCGAGAAATGTTGACTAAAGCCCAGATGAGTGATCCGTCTCTAACTTCGTGTCTGTCCTCTGTTGTAGCCGCCGAGGAAGACAGCAAACCAGTTCGGTTTTTTTTTGGACAACGGTGTCCTGATGAGACGGTGGAGTCCCGACTCCAGTGAGATGTGCGCTGTAAATCAGGTGGTTGTGCCAACTGACTACCGAGCGCAAATTTTGAGTCTGGCACATGACTCCAGCTTAGCTGGCCACCTGGGTGTTAAAAAGACGTACCATCGTGTGTTGCGCAATTTCTTTTGGCCCGGATTAAAAACTGACGTTTCGAAGTATTGCCGCACCTGTCACACATGTCAAGTTGTGGGAAAGCCCAACCAACCTGTTCCGCCGGCTCCTCTGCATCCGATCCCGGTGCTTGGTGAGCCGTTTGAACGAGTGTTGATAGATTGTGTGGGGCCGTTACCCAGAACTAAATCTGGCCATCAGTATATTCTAACGGTGATGTGCGCCGCGACGAGGTATCCTGAAGCTATTCCCCTGCGCACTCTCAGAGCAAAACCAGTCGTGAAAGCTCTCACTAAATTCTTTTCAACGTTTGGCTTGCCTAAAACTATCCAGAGTGACCAGGGCACGAATTTCATGTCCAAATTGTTCGCACAGGTAATGAGAGAGCTAAAAGTTAAACATGTAACTTCAAGTCCTTACCACCCGGAGTCTCAAGGTGCACTTGAGAGGTTCCACCAAACCCTAAAATCTATGTTGCGTAAATATTGTCTTGAGTCTAACCGAGAGTGGGATGAAGGTCTCCCTCTCCTGTTATTTGCCGTGCGTGAAACTCCTCAGGAGTCTTTGGGGTTCAGTCCTTGTGATTTGGTCTTTGGCCATACTGTCCGCGGTCCCCTTCGGCTACTTAAAGAAAAGTGGTTAGCAGAGTCGCCAAAAACTGAACATAAGCTGCTAGATTATGTCAGTTCCTTTCGTGAGCGTCTCAATTATGTGTGTCAGTTAGCCCGTGACAACTTGTCACAAAGTCAAGCTAAAATGAAGAGTCGTTATGACAAAAAGTCTGTCCTCCGTGTCTTCCAACCAGGTGACAAGGTTTTGGTGCTTCTTCCGTTGCCGGGATCCAGTTTGCATGCTCGGTTTTCGGGTCCGTACACGGTGGAGAGGAAAATTAGTGACACTGACTACGTTGTTCAAACTCCAGATCGGAAAAGAAAATCTAGAGTGTGCCATATTAACATGTTGAAACGTTATTTTTCCAGAGTGAGTGAATCCCCGCTGTCTCTTGCTGCACCCGTGATGTCCGTGTCCGCTACTCCTCCTCAGTACCACCTAGCCGATGATGGGTTGGCAGAGAAAAGTGGTTTGATGCCGGCCGCGAGTTTGAGAAATTCAGAGGTACTGAGTAACTTGGGGTTTTTTTTTTGGCCCATCTGTCGGACTCAGCTCTTGCAGATGTTAGGGATTTGATAGAGGATAACCTATTGCTTTTCTCTGACCATCCTAGGCAAACGTCTGTCCTGTTCCATGACATTGACGTGGAGGGTCACAAACCCATTAAGCAACATGCGTATCGCGTAAATCCGGCCAAAAGGGCTATGATGCAGCAGGAGGTGAGCTATCTGGTTGAGCATGGATTAGCTGTTCCCAGTACCAGTGCGTGGAGCTCACCCTGTGTCGAAACCCGACCACACTCCTCGTTTCTGTAACGATTACCGAAAAGTAAATTCAGTCACAAAACCTGATTCATTTCCGCTCCCCAGAATGGAAGATTGCATAGATCGTGTAGGCTCCGCTAAATATGTGACAAAGCTGGACCTGTTAAAAGGTTACTGGCAAGTACCGTTAACGCCACGGGCCTCAGAAATTTCAGCTTTTGTCACACCCGATACTTTCCTCCCGTACACTGTTATGCCATTCGGGCTGCGTAATGCACCCGCTACTTTCCAACGGTTGATGCGTATCGTGTTATCTGGTGTAGAAAATTGCGAAGCTTACTTGGATGATGTTGTTGCTTACTCCTCCACCTGGGCCGACCATCTCCACACATTGTCCCTCATTTTCAGTCGTCTCCGTGAGGCCTCACTCACCCTCAACCTCGCAAAATGTGAATTTGGTAGGGCCACTGTTACCTATTTAGGTAAACAGGTAGGTCAGGGGCAGGTGCGTCCTTTGGCTGAAAAAGTGCAGGCGATTATTGATTTCCCGGTCCCCCCGTCCAAGAAAGCGTTGCGCCGTTTTCTTGGAATGTGTGGGTATTATCGGGGTTTTTGTCGAAACTTTTCGGACGTTGTTGCTCCTCTCACAGGACTTGTGAGTCCTTTAAAATCGTTTATTTGGTCCCCCGCCTGTCAAGCTGCCTTCGAGTCGGCCAAGGCATTACTGTGCAATGCACCAGTTCTCGCGGCGCCCTGTTTTACGCGACCCTTTAAGTTAGAGGTTGACGCCAGTGCGTGTGGCGCAGGGGCTGTCCTCTTGCAGGAGGACAGTCAGTCTATTGATCACCCCGTGTCTTACTTCTCAAAAAGTTTAATAAGCACCAGCTTAATTACAGTACCATTGAGAAGGAAGCTCTTTCGCTATTGTTAGCCTTACAATATTTCGAAGTTTACCTTGGGTCTAGTTCACAGCCTGTCTCGGTATTCACAGATCATAACCCATTGGTATTTCTGGCTCACATGCAAAACTCTAACCAGCGGCTGATGCGCTGGTCTCTCCTTCTGCAGGATTTTAACCTGCAGATCCGCCACAAAAAGGGTACGGAGAACGTAATCGCAGACGCCTTATCCAGGTGCTCAGCTTTATAGGAAGTAAACCTTTTAGGGGAAGGTTTACTTCTTGGGTGTGGGGGTGTTATGACTGGGGTCATCTGTGTAGTGTTTGTGGGTTTCTTTTGGTGTCTTTCTGGTTTCTTTATTCAAACAGGGATGTGCCACCACCAGGCGCGGATTGGTGGACGGTCTCCCACCCGTCCTGTGATTGGCTGCAGCCGGCATATAATGGAAGCCAAGATGGCGTCCGAGGCAGAGCAGACCAGAGCAGGGGAGAACAGCAGCAGAGCACAACCCTCGTCCTCCTCCTCTTCCAACCAGCCACTTGTAGCATACCGTGAAGCTGAATAAGTATTCTGTTTTACTTTTGAGTTGGTTTTCTCCTGTTTTAAAGTAGTTAGGTAGGTAAGACTGATGTCATTATTTTTCTCCTTTGTTTTGGTAGGTCAGCGTCTTATTTTCTAGCTAGGTTCGTTTTTTGGTTTGTTTGTTATATTGGGGATGGGCAACGGCGAAGCGAAAAAGAGGCAAGAAGTTGTTGTTTTTTTGTAGTCATGAAAACAGTGGCTTTTTAATGTAAACACTACATTCGATTGGTTTTTCCAGTACGGACATCCCACATGAAATAACAACCATTCACGAAGAGGAGTAGAGAGAGAGAGAGAGAGAGAGAGAGAGAGAGAGAGAGAGAGAGAGAGAGAGAGAGAGAGAGAGAGAGAGAAAGCGGCACAGAAAAAAGCATTCACTGGGTAAAGAACAGAACAAAGAGTTTAAACTATTCAAACAAAGAGAATGAAGGTAACGGGATCAGAATGCCAAAGAAACAGGTATATGTCATTATACACAGTAGTTTTGTCTTTTAAAAACTATAAATCAAGAAGGCAAGAAAGAGTTTAGTATAGATAGATGATAGATTTATGAGAGGTAACAAAGATCAGGTATGAACAGATAACAAATTTCCAAATCTACTCATGCTCAAGTGCGAGCAAGTGTGTGTGATGTGAGAACTGTGCTTTTCATTGTAGACCTGGAAGGTGTCTGTCAAACTGAAAAGAGACAGAAGCATAAGGAGCATGATTTTATACAGCATCGATGTGCGGCGTCCCTAACTAGCAGGTGCAGTGTGAAATGTGCTCTCCCCCAAAAAAGTGGTTCATTGTTTCTGAAATAATAAAAATAGTTATTATATAATATTTAATCGTTCTGAGTCAGGCTAAAGTGAGGACACGGTTCCGATGCAGGGAAACAGGCAAAAAGGGTAAAAGGAGGGAGGCGGGGGCACAGTTCAGAGCATTGCACCAACGCAGGGGCAGGATGGATCCAAATCAGCTCGCTGTCAGAATTACAACCCTCTGCAAAACATCTTCACCTTAAAAAAGGGGAATATTTAGAAAAAAATGTATTGTAGCTACAAAGCACAAGAAAGATTCTCTTTAAAATATTACAGGATCATAATGATCGTAGTTGTTGTGATGTTGTAAAACCCACGTTTATTGGCTTCATTAACTATTTAGGTGTGGATTCATATTTTTGTCGTTCTACTTGTTACCGCAAGAATCTACACTTTTTTTCTCCAAACCACCCACATGACCTTTCGATCCTTTAAAAATGCCACTGATTTTTTATTTTGTTTGACCCTGCCCCACCCGGTCCAGTAACCGATCACTCCTCTCCTTCTCTTGCAGCTTTCAATCTCCTACGGTCTTTTTTGTGTGTGTTTTTTTCTATCTTTTGCTATTTTTTAAAATGATTTCTTTGAAGTTATTATCTCAACAGCATCTACGTGAAGCTTCTTTTAAAACATTGTATGAATTAACTAGTCTCTTTGTACAAAGGCTTGAGTATCTCAAGCTATCTGTGACAGGGTTTTAGTGAGAAGAGGAGAGGAGGAAGGGAGGTGGAAAGGTTGGGAGGAGATGAGATGCCTTTTGAACACGAAATCATAACAGCAGGGCGCCATGCAGAGAAAAGGCAAAAAATCAAAGAGGTGGTGGGAGCCGACAGAAGGAGAGGCTTGGTGGCACAGTGTAAATGAAGAGAGAATCAGACAGCGTGTCATGTGTAGGACAGGTGATTAATCAATAAATAAATTAACAAAACGAATCAACCGTCATTAAACCACGACTGAGTTTCCTAGCATAAAGAATGTTAGTAGGTTTAGAGGTTTTAACAGTGAGGAAGGTTTGAGCGCTGGTTCTGAAAGCGAGCAATCTACAGTAGAGTACCACGGTCGCATGGCACTGATGGGATGTTTAGCACATTTCTTATTGGCTCTTAGGTTGGGCGACGCCCGGATGTCGGCGAGGGGCTAAGGCTAGGTTGGGGGAAACAGGAAGGCTCACTTCCTGTTCATAAAAACCAGATTGTGGGGAGTAACATAATACTACTTGAAAACAAAAAGGGAAACTGACAACAAACATATTAAAATGTCTTGGCTAATGTAAACAAAAGACTCAAGTTAAAATAAGTGTTGTCAGTTTCAGCAGGTCTCAAAGAGTTTAAGGTTTTTTGCCGACCTTTTCACATATTTCCGCAAATAATGTTATTACACAATTACTACTACAGCAAAAAACAAACAAAGTAAAACACAAATATGGCGAGGTGAGGCAAAATGTGAATAACAATCAGTGTAGAGACTGATACCCATGTAATAAATACACGCACGATCAACAAAATGGAAACATAATTCATATTCATACCAATAATAAAAAAAGTCTGGCTTTGTTTTTGTTACCAACAAAAGACACAACTGAGAAAGAAAAACAGCAAGAGGACGGGGAAAGCAGGCATTCATTGACTTTGTTCAAGAAGTTTTCAAGGCTTCAGGTTTGTGTTTTCTACTGAAACAAATTTGTTTGCTTGGCAGCAGGCCGAAGACCGTTAGGACGAGAAGTCAGAGCGTGACGAGAAGAGACAAAAACTAAAAACATATATATATATATTTCTACATATATATATGCCTATTTTTTATTATCCTCATTATTAATATGTACCTAGTTGCATTTTTCATTTTTTCTTTAAATAATCAGCAGAATCATTATCGTCATAACCATTTCCACAGCAGTGTCAAAGGAACAGGAGCGAGGTGGGAGGAGGACAGGTGGGGCGAGGGAGGACAGGGGACAAAATGGGGAAGACATTGCGGGGTGTGTGGGCGGGCTCAATACAAGCCACACCCTCGCAGGTTGTTGGCGATGATGATGTCGGTGACGGCATCGAACACCACCTGGATGTTTCCTGTATCCGTGGCGCAGGTCAAGTGACAGTAGATTTCCTTGTTTGGGGAGCGATTCTTGCTCTCGAACTGTGCTTGGATGTAAGCTGCTGCGTCGTCGTAAGTATTGGGTCCTGGAGAGAGGAGAGCGAGACGGAGAAAATCGTATGGTTAAGAGTTATCATACAACAGAATGATGCTCCCTTGATTTTACAATGCAGATGAATGAGATCCCAATGAAATCAAAACGTATTACTGTAGCTACAAATATATTTGGTATTTATTTTAGCTGCTATTTGGACTGATCAGGTCTGAAACTCTTTACTTGTACTTATAAATAAAAAAAGATGAGGCTTAGGATGGCATTTTCTTCTTATTCTGAGGAGCTCCTGCCGGCGAGGTAAGGCGGGAGGGGACTATCGTGAGGGTAAACAGGTCAGACAGACTTACTCTGATCATCATAGCAGTAAGCAAATTAAATAAACAGGCGGGCCAGAAATGAATGAGTGTGACGGACCTGCATGTTGTGTGTGTGAAGAGGGCAGGAGACAGCTCTCACTTGCCATCTTCTCTCTCCTCCCTCCTTGGCTGACCAAGCGTGACGGTCTCCTGCCCTCAGACTTCCAATTCTTTCCTTTTCACTGCCACATCTGACGCTCACCTTTACTCCTCTGACAGCGTCTATTTCAGCTGTCTCTCATTCCTTCTCTTCTATGCTTTTAGAAACAGTCAAGCAAATCTTCCTCTATATTGTTGTGTTCCCTTCAAATAAAGGCTACTGGCTCAAAGCTGTCAAAGGCTGCTTTGATTTATAGTAAAACCTTTTGCAGAATGCTTCAACACTTAATAGCAGTTCATGTCCAGATTGTTTCACAGCTGTTACAACGGCAAACATTCTCATTTGCTGTATGAAGCAGTGGTTAATCGATGAGGTTTTAGAAAGCTTCTGTATTTTGCTTTTGGGAATTGGATTAATCGAAGATTAGAGGTGTGGTGCTACTTTGATACACATTGCTTATGTATTCTGTCCTAAGTAATTGGATTCAATGTACCTCCTTTACAGAGTTTTATTCACCTGTCAAGTTTGGTTGCTGCTGTTTTGAAAGCTGCTATTTCTCACTTATGCACTCAGGGAAACTGTCACTGTCATTTATTTTATGTTTTGTTCTACCTGTGTATTCTGGGAAGCAGATGCTGAGCGCGGACTTCTTGATCTTCTCTGCAAACAGATCCTTCTTGTTTAGGAAGAGGATGATGGAGGTGTCGATGAAGAACTTGTTGTTGCAGATCGAGTCGAAGAGCATCAGAGACTCGTGCATGCGATTCTGCGGAGGAGGAAAGAAGATGAGAGGGAGAAAGGATGGAGAAAATAAAAGGATGAGATGAAAGATTAAGGGAACAGGTGAAATGAAGAGAACAAGAGAGGAATGAAAAGAAAGTGATGACAGGGAGGAGAAGAACAAGAATGAATGATGATTAAAAAAGAGGAAAAAAAAGGAAAAAATCAGTCACTGGTCACATTTTAACATTAACAAAAATAGGCCAAAAACCTCGCAGACTATTACACAAAGAAAGAACATTAATTATACTCTCTCCAACTAGAGCGTTATCAATATAAAAAGAGAAGAGAGGAAGACACACAATTCTGCATAAATATTTATCGTGCATCTTTAATAAAATTAAGAGCATGAGTATTATGCAGCCAGACAAAGATGATGACCCCGCAAATGAGGAGAAATTTATTCACCTCAAACACTCATACTGACAAGAAACAGTGGCCGCTAATGTTTGGTGGATTTGCTAAGAAAATTACTTTTCAAAATAAATAATCACAATTTAGGAATACAGATTAAAAAAAACCACACAATGCAAAAACCTCGTCAACGCAAATTGGGTCAGAAACATCACACAAGTTACTCATGAGCTGCTTTATTGTTGTTTCTCTTATACAACTTTGAATAAATTATCACAACACTGAGGAGGATACAGCAGCTTTGGTTTTACTTAGCACTCAGTAAGATACACAATACGCAGACCATCATTAAACAGGATCGTAGATTTGGCTGCAGGGTCTCTGTACAGAATAGACAGGCACTTGTTTGGCATTAGGAGAAAGGTTAGATAATGTGGAAAATGGTGGCATCAATAAGAGTTGAGATAATGATGAGCGCAGGGACTTTGACCAGCACAGACTTTGCTTCCTAAATCCCAAAAAGGTTAATTTCGGTGTCAGTGGGAAATTAACATATTAATGTACCAAAAATCATTTGCGCAAATTCTACAATTTGAAGCATGAATAAATTAGAAGCTTGGTTACATCTGACATGGGAACAAATTTCACCCTAAATCGGGTTTGTCGGCCACTGTGGGGTTTCAGAGATTGTTTATGTTGCCATGGCATTTGTTTTGTGCAAACACCTGCTGCCCAGATAGGATCAGACCGTTGGTACCTGAATGAACCAGTGATTGGGTCTGAGGTGAATAATACAAACAGCAAAAAAAACAAAAAACTAATTAGCCTACATTACACACAAATCTCTCCTTCACTGCAGCCTATTGGAGTCCATTATTTATCGCTGGGATTTAAGCTCCATTTCTTGCTGTGGAGCTAATATATAGCCCAATTATATATCCTGGTGTACTACACAAGCATTTTAAATGGCAAAATTGTGCAGCAATTCTGAAAAATTCAAGCCAATGACATGAAAACAATAAGAGGACTAATTTAGAAGGGGAAACAGACGCAGAAATGTTTGTACGTCAAAGTTCTGTTTTGGGTGTCGGCGGGGTCATTAGAAAACAGGGGTCTCAAACTCATGTCAGGTGCGGGCCAGATGCAGCCCACTTCGACCGAACGCAGGCCGGACCATCACGGTTGATGGGGGGGTGGCGGCGCTGATGGTCCAAACGGAAAACGGTACGGTCGACGGTAGGGGGCGCGGACTGTTCGACCTGCGAAAGCCGCACCGGACACCCCAACAGGCCGGAGTTTGAGACCCCTGATATAAAACTAAGCAACTAACCATTAAAGTATATTGAAAGTGTAATACGTAGCCAATTTAGAGATGCAAAAACAGAGAAATGGCCCTTTAAATCTGCACAGCAGAAACCAGGCAACACGCTGCTCTGTGCGCAGCCTGAAAGCTTGAAAAGTACAGTAATCTATCGTCCTTTCTACTGCATGTGAATTGGAGCTTGTAACTACGGTAATGGCGGTTGAGGATTTTACCTACCCCATTGTTACACAACTGATGCCTACTGCTCGTTTGTTTTAGGCTTTGAGGCAAGAAATAACTTGATAAATATATCGAGGCAAGAAAAAATAAATAATAATAAATAAAAGCGGGGATGCTGCGTGAGGATTATGCTTTTTCAGTTTTCATTGGCAGGATAGAGAAGGTACTGCTTTGTAAATAACCCCAAGGCTCAGCTTGTGCTTGCGAAATATTAAAGAAATGAATTCACTTGTTTTGACACCGTTAAAGGACAATAGCGTTTGATGTTATGTTTATCTCCAGAGGGGATGCAGCAGGATCAATTAATGTTCCCACCGTGTAATAAATGTTAGAAGTCAGAAGAAGACAAACCAAAAGCTTTCAGGAGCAGAACTAAGAATTGGGAAACAAACCCCAAAACACCAGCAGCTCTTCGGTTGGATAGGGTTATAGGATTATTTGGCACGAGCAAGTAAGGTGACATTTTGAAGTCTCGTGGGTGCGTTTATGTCTTCAGTTTGTGTGTGTTGAGGGCCTGTGTTTGTGTAAAGGGTAGACCGGTGCCTTCTGGGTAATTAATCCACAGATACTGACTCCACCCCAAAAGTGGGTTGACGTTGTTTCCAACACAATACAAACACATGCATGCAGGCATACAGGAGCGTGCACACACACACACACACACACACACACACACACACACGCACGCACACACGCACGCACGCATACACGCACGCACGCACGCACGCACACACGCACACACCGACCTTTCCTGTACTGTCAACAGACACACATGTAGTTAGCTATATACAATCGGTGAACACCCAAATATACACAAGATACACACACACACAAAGCAGGCTGACCAACAGCCTTAGGCAGCTCTCTAATTAAGGAAAGTTGGCAAAGATGTAGTGGGAGCCGATCACATCATCCACCTGTTTATAAAAAAGAAAATAATCACAGGATGAAGCAGGCAGGCCGTCGCTATTTTGAGTGTGGAGGGAAAAGTGGAATGAAGCAAATGCTCTGCTCATTAAATAAAGAAGCTGCCCCGTTTGCCAGAGAGCACTTGAATCAGGGAAGCTGCAAACACACTCGGCTCAGTCAATTCAAGTCACACAGAAAGTGAGACAACTCAGTAAACCCTCGTTTAGAAAGAGAAAAGGGGGGAGCTGCAGATATTTTCCTGTCATTATATGCATCTCTTTGGCTTTTACGGTGTGTTTTTTTAAATGCTCCCACAATTGCAAACAGCACTTTTCATTTCAGGTAAGCCGTGCGCTTCGTCAGAGCTCAAAGGCCCGGCTGCTGTGGGACGGCTACCCAGCACCAATGCAACTTGCTGGGAATGGAACAAAAGAAACAAGGTCAAATATTTATTCTCAGAGGAATGTATCTTTCAAAGCTCAGGCAGAGACGTGGATGGTAAAGAGATTACATTGAGCAGCTTCACCCAGGGATGTTGTCTCTGGGCCCTGTGAAATCAATGCCTCCGTTGAGACGTTATCTGTGAACTGTCTGAAAACACTGCCACTAGTAGCTGATTTATTCTGAGGCATGAATGCTGAAACACAAAATATAAACCCAAAGACTTAAGTATCAACTTTCAAGGTACATTTTTAAATGTTACAACCCGCAATATATTTGCAGCTCGCCTCTTCTAACTTTGATCAAAAACGAAAATGACATTAAATAAGATAAAAACAATTTAAAAACCCTTTTTCTGAAGGAACAAAACCACATTTGCTCTCAAATTAAATGCATCCACTGGGATAACAACCATGAGGCTCAACACACAATTCAGTTGAGCTGCATAAACTGCCGCTGGGTAGCGTTCGATAAGATGGAAAGCAGACATTGCTCAAACCATGAACCCTATAAACAGCCTACGCATGTGAACGGAGGATCAGCATGCGTGCAGGCAGGTAGACAGTCTGTGTGGTGCGTGAAAGAGCAGGAACACGGATAAAATGCAATCTGGAAACCCATTGGCTAATGTAAATGCTGATTTAGCTTCTTATTAGCTAAAACACAACTGTAAATGAATAAGTCTGACATTCGGGGCCTTTAATTTAGCCATAAGTTTTTGAGTAACATCCATTCAAAATGCAGTAAAAAAAAAAAGAAATGTGACAGAAGGAGGTTTGTGTTAACACTGTGTTTCTATGGTGCCAGGGGAGGGACGGTCCTATCTGATGAACATTTATATTTAGCAAGGCGTCACGCCATTTGATTCAAAATGATTAATATTAAACTAATGAATTGTTTGTTTTGTTGTTTTTTTTAACAAAAATAAATGTAACTTTAATAAAAATACTGTTTTTTTGTAGAAATTCAACAAATTAAAACTACAACCATAATGATTAGTAATAATAATAATAATAATAAATTCAAATTATATTTCATCATGCGCTTCTGGTCTCTCAAAAGGCGCAGTAACTGTTTTTACAAATAATATATATTTCATAATAATGAGTTAATAATAAGTTTAATTTTGTCTAATAATTTAACATGCTTGGTTTTTTCTTACTGCATTCATGATCACGATATGTTTACTAATGTCTTACTGCATAACTAACAAATTAATTTGGAGCTGAATAGTGCAACAATGCAGTTGGACCGTATGCGACTAGAGGAAAACCAAATCAAAACAGATACAACATAATTAAGGCGCTCACATTAACTATTATATATATATAGCATATGTTGAAATGCATTTTCTTTATGCTGATGACTAAGCGTTCATTCAGAATCTCTTAGAAGACGCTATAACACTTTGACATGACATGGGCAGAATAAATTCTGAAGTGCATCTTGACCTTGACCAGTTTCAAATATATATTTATATTCACTTTGACAATGGCCCTTTGTGTAAGGTACATGACTAAGGCAGAGAAGACTAGCCAATTCTTTCATTTTTAATTATTACAATAATTTGGGGTAGAGGAGGGATTTCCATTAAACACGTTTGCTGGAAGCCCTATAAGATGGCCACTGTTTATTTAGATTAATTAGTAATCCATCCAGTTCTTTGAGTAAAGCACTACTGCATTTACAAACACGTCTCAGGATCTTTATATCTCTGCAGTCAACTGGAGCAATGTGCA